ATAAGATATATATGATAAGTAAATGATAGTTGAGCATTGATAATGAATAGTTGAGCACCCAGAGTACTCTTTTCTAAGACATTAGCATGACCAGGTAGAAACTAGAGAGATAATTCCTAAGTCATTCTTAGTTACTAGTCAAAGCATACGATGATTAATGCAATTACACTTAGCAGTCATGGCTAAGATCATCTTTATATCTAAACATAAGGAATATTAATAAGGAAGATTAAAAACAGAGCTTGTTCTTCCTTCGTAACCGGATCCTACGTGCGCCTATATTCAGGGAGTGGACTACAAAGGACTCAATGGTAGTGTCACATCCGTGATCTACCACATGACCTATAATATAGGGTGTATCCATAGATAAACAACGTATAAGCACCACGTTTACAATGTCGACCACTCACCCTGTGCATAGCAGAGCGAGCGCTATACGAACTTATGCATGGACATAATGATAAACTAGCTATACTAAGCATATAATCCAAGTAGACGATGAACATTATAACGAATAAGATGAATACTAATATTGTTATAACAATTGTAGCAAGCATATAAAAGTAATGGAGATACAAAAGAGAGGGGGTACAAATATTATACCAACCCACGCTCTTGACAAGATCGAAAATCCAAGCGAAGCCTTCTTGCATCTCTCTAGATCTAACCTAGCTAGCTATGCTCTAGAATGGAGCTCTGAGGATTAGGGTTTGATCTCTGTCTTCTACTTTGACTTATGCCTCAGGGAGGGGGTAGGGGCTGCTGTATATAGGCCGAGGTGGAGTATGGGGCAAGGAATCAAGGTGGAGTAGGGGGTCAAGAATAGCCACGTCATCGATCCACGTCAACTCCCTCGATCACCGTTGGATGAACCGACCTAAAACCGCCTTAGAATCAACGATGTAGATCGTAGAAAGGAGTACAAGGCGGCGAAGGGCGATTGGTGGGCTCAGGGGGCCGGGTGGCCTATAGGTGGGGCCGCCTAGCCCCACTTGGTAGCCTCTCAGGCCTCGCCTCAGTGTATTGCCTTCTGGTGTCTTCTAGATCCTTCCCAAGTTGTTTACGCGGTGAAATTTCGTAATTTCCTTTGATGAATAGGTCCTCCTTGGTGGTTTTCTAGATAAACCTTGATGAAAACACAGATTCACCAAAACTCGTGGAATTTATTAGTTTAAACCCCTATACCTATATTTGATGATGGAATTAAGTATAAATATAGGTTATGTTGACGGTTTATAATTGATGTTAGTGACCGTCAACAACCAATTAGGTGGATTTACCATTTCTTGTAAAATATAATAGGGGTTGCTATGGTACTTTTTAAATAACTATGAACTATGTATGTATACTATATATTACCTCTTAGAAGGTAATAGAATAAATATATATTTATGTATTATTTTATTTTAAAACATAGACAGAATAATTGTCATGGACAGGGTAGGATATATAGTAGGAGACGTCCAGACATGATACACTACTATAGGAAACTTAACCAAGGCGGGCAAAAAGGGTTAACCGAGGCCGTTTTTGAAACCACCTCGGCCGAAAGGTCATCGTTAATCATGGCCTTAACCGAGGCGGTTGCCCTATCCGCCTCGGTTAATCGAATAAAAAACAAAAAAAAAGAAAACCCGTAGATAAGCTCAGCGAGCCCATCCACGCGCCGCCATGGCCGCACGTCGGATTTGGATGTCCCTGAGCTGGATCCACCACACCGGAGCCGAATCGCCGCTCCCATGCTGGATCTGTCATGCTGGAGCCGGATCCGCTGCACCGGAGCAAGATCCGCCACGCTGGAGCCGGATCTGTCGCTCCCCAGCACGAGCGCCGCCATCGTTGGAGGAGGGGCACAACACCATAGCCCTAGAATGGCAATGCATCGTTGGTCGCTATAGGTGGATACAACGACGCACTATCGGTCGGTATAGATCTATGCCGACACTTAACTACTGCCGCTGAAAGTGGCATCAGGATAGGGTTATAGCGACCGACATACTTTTAGCGATCGATAGTCTGACAAAATGTTGAAGCAATACCGACCAACGGGCTGATGACATATAGTAGTTTTACCGTCCAACGGTCCAAGGCTAAAGGGATTTATACCAACCAACAATCCAACGCATAGATCACATGACGCAAAAATACATTATTAATCTCACATTAACCAAATTACGTATTCTTTTAGACATGAAACATACATGGTCACATTCAACATGAGACACAAAATCGAGTCACAATGACATAGCTTAGATTTCATTCATGCCAATTGGTACATGTAATAGTCATGCTGGGTTGCACACCTCGTAGTAACATGAGACACCAAATTATAGTATTCTTCACAACACACAAGTCTGGCTTTTACACCTCACAGCTAACATGCCCAAGGAGTTCTTTACAAAATGTTACATCATCCAAAGCAACTAGCATCCATCCCCAAGCAGTTCTTTACAAAATGCTATATAATCCAAAGCAACTAGCATCCATCGATGTTTCATCTCCATCTCACAAATTGTTTGATCTGCTTGCAGATACAAAATAATCACATTACATCTAGCGCCTTCCACCTGAAAAATCAAAACATATTTTTCAGTTCCAACTACTAGTGTGTGCTGCCTTATTTTCAGCTCATGTATTATCTGAAATGCAACACAAAGCTGGCCATGCACCACATATACTTATATGCACATATGCAATTGAACAAGCAACTTAACATCTCAAGGATGTGTACACCAACCCCAGCTCCAGCCGCTTCAATGAGTTTTGGGTCCACGCCTCTCCTCCCCTGCTGCAAGACCAACATAGCACATATTAGTAAGGTCAGAAGAGTATGTAAGTTTGCGACCATAACCAATATAAAAAAAGACAAGTCCGGTAACTGAGAACACAAATCTATTCTAGATTAAATTTATAGTTTTCTTTTAGTACATCATCAAGATAATACTAGAAAGACCGGCCACTCCAACCTTTCATAGGCCAGTTCATCTCGATCTTCGCTAAGTGCTGGCATCAAGAGGGGATAAGCAAATTGGAGCATCATTATACTAAAACCTTTCATAGACAGTGGAGGGAGCGGGCTGCAGGATGGGGAGACGAGTTGGGCTAAGGGAGGCGTCAGGGCTGGGGAGAGGAGTCGGGCTGAGGGAGGGAAGATGCGACTGAGTGAGGAAAACCCTAGCTCCCTTCTGTGTATATATAAACCCATTGGATATGGGCTTTTTGTTGGGCCTCAAGAATATTAACCGAGGCGGGCCATTTAGGAGGTCCGCCTTCGAAAAAGGAGGCATTTTTAAGGCCCGCCTCAGTTCATAGATTTTAGGAGGCGGTTTCGTTAGGTCAACCTCCTCGGTTAATAGGCATTAACTGAGGCGGTTCTGTTAAGTTGTCCGCCTCGGTTAAGCATTAGCCGAGGCGGTTGCTAGGGAGGCTACCCTGCCATGAATAACCGAGGCGGGCAACCGGCCCAACCGCCTCGGAGACTATTTTGGAAACGCCTTGTAAAAGTTTTTGTGTAGTAGTGACAGTGGGCTAATTTATTAGAGAGGGGCCTAGGCCCAGCCGTTATAAATTAGATCTAAAAGTAGTAGTAGGGTTTATGAGCTCTATTGATAAACAGACCCAAAGCCTATTAGTATTCTTATAAGCCCCTATATACATAGGGGGAAGGTCGATCTAGAAAGCAAGTTTAGGGTTAATCTCTTATCCTCGCTCTTCTCTTTTACAGCTGCCATCTCTCTCTGCTCCTTCCTCGATGCCGACTCCCTCTCCCTCTCTCGCAACCATGCCCACCAGCTGTGGGCACTGCCGCTGCTCCCTGTGCTCGTAACCTCAGTCGCCCCTGCTAGCTCCCAGCCAGCAGTAGCCGGCCTCAGCTCCCCGACTGCCGCAGCTACCTCAGCCAGGCCCTAGCCAGCCCCAGCAGCCCAGGAAAACAGGCACGTGACAACTTAGTATTTAGAGCCATGTTGTGATCCATCTCCATGGAGGATATTTGTAGCGTCATCAATCACTGGATGAAGGAATTGAACAATTTTTTTAGAGGCACCAAAAGTGCCCACCTTGAGCAGAGGACAGAACTCCACAGACTCCAATTTACGTGCCACCACCAATAAGGGGGATTGTTGCCGACACCTCCACCAGTTCAGATCTTAACCGAACAGGTGAAACCACCGCCAACAGCTCAGCCTCCTACAACAGTACCACCACCACACCAACAAGGAGATTCAAAAACCAGATCAACATCAACAAAAACAGCAACAAAGCATCCACAAAATTGACTTTCACAAAGTACAACGGGAACGAGGACCCATCAGGTGTCTATATAGATGCGTAAAAAAAATTAACCCAAAATACTAGAGAGGAGGATCAAACACAGCTCGCAGCATTCCACTAGCAAGGGCAAGCTCTCACATGGTTCATTAGATTAGAACAGGAATCCAACACATCATGGTCACAATTCGCTACGACCATTAGTAAACGCTTAGGTCCACAGTACACTCTGATCACAACCACTTGGGCCAACTCTCAAGCACACGATAGATAGAAGAACTGGACGAATATACACCAAACAATTTCTCCTCAATCTAACAAAGCTGACATGTCTCTATGCCACTCAACAAGTAATGCTATACACAGCAGGATTGGAATCTACTCTGGGACTAGATATTGAACTACAAGAACCTCAAGACTTGGAAACAGCAATAGCTCTTGCTCGCATATTTCAACTGGCCAGTATCCAAACGGCTACACCCCAGAAGCCATCTCAACCGATTCCGGAGATACAAATCTCCTTACATGCAGTCACAGGGGTCAAAACTTGCTAATCAGTGTTATATTTTTGTGTTGGATACACATATATGTTTATTATTATTCAAAGGTCCATAAGCAGTGTGCATTCCATTAACTAGTAGGCATGTATATAAAAAAAGAATAAAAATGAAAGCAGGCTCTGACATGCATGGATGCATATATGCATGTATGATGATGTATTGAATATTGGATCAAAACGCCGTGTGATCGTGGCAGCTGCTGCTGCTCTTCTTCCTCCGCATGAAGAGCGCGCCCACCAGCGGGATGAGCGGCTTCTTCTTCTTCCTTCCCTCCTCCGCCATCGCCTTGGCGGCCTCGTGCCCGGCCGACATCTGCCTCTGGAACCGCAGCTCCCGGTAGTAATGCGGCTGCGGCTGGTGGGGCTGATGGGGCGGCGCGCGGTGCAGCTCCATCACCACATCCGGCAACGGTGGCGCACGGCATGCGGCGGTGGTGGCGGCGACCGTCGGTGGGTCGGCGAACGTCACGTACCTCTTCTTCTGGAGCTCGCCTCCGGCAGCAGCGAGGCTGCCGTCAGCGGTGACGCCCCGTGGCGGCGCCGGCTGCTTCTCAGCGGCCTCGGTGAAGTGGAGGCCCTCGTCGATCTCCAGGTCGATGACCTTGGCTCCGGCCTCCTCGTCGTTGCGCACCTTGAGCCTCTTGAGTTCCATCATAGCGTGGCTGAGCTCCTCCTGTAGGGTCTGGATGCACCCGGCCATCTTCTGCTTCTCCTCCCGCTCCTTCTCCAGCTTCTGTTTTGCCTCCTCCAGCTCCGCGGTGAGTGGTGGCACGGGGCGTGGCGTAGCGGTGGTGACCGCGCCGGCGGCGACGCTCACGGCGTGGTGGTTGGGTCTTGTTGCCGCCACTCGATTCTGTGCAATCGATCGAGTATGCTAGGGAATGGAAATGCATGGGAGCATATATATTAAAAAATAAAACAAAAGGAACTTAATTATCAGTAACAGGTAGTTTTTTCCTATTAACTGAATATAAGCAAATGCATAAGAACTGATAGTGAAAATTTTTATAAGGGACGAATATCAGATATGAATTCTATGGAAAGTGAATCAATATGTTAAGTTTCCATGTTTTTCCTACTCTATAAAGTCGAGCATGCATACTATATATCACTTTTGGGGCAAATTAGTCTAGGTAACTGAATAACTGATGCTACCAGGTCCCATCCATGGCCATAATAATGATATTATTAGAATATATGCATAAGCGACTAAAAGGCTAACTTTATATGCTAGTGATGATTAGGGCACCTAATAATCACAGTACACAATTGCCATCATCAAGTTAATGGAGGTTGTAGGCAGATGGAGTACACCTTTATAGCTTCCTTAATTCAGGTGCAAGCTAGGAACATATCTTAACAGTCTTGACGCACATGCATGCACTTTTAAAAATTTCAATCTACATATATAGGGAGCTAGTACTACTTTACTGTGACCAAAAGTGATCCAAGTGTGTTGTGTGAAATAGATAGCTGCAGGGTTCTGGAAGGTATCAACATGCATGCATGTATCTTTGCTGATTAGTGCGTGGGTTAGTAGGAAGAAGATGCATGCTTACAGCAAGGAACATGTACATTTGGTAAAGAAGTCTATGCTGCTTTTGTAGCACCTTTTTTACTTGGCCGTGAAGAAAGGAATAGACAGTGATGATGCACTTATTTTGACATCTTGGTAGCCAGCTATCCCACCTTTTTTACATCTATCTATCAACTAAAGGAGATTAACCAGTCAAGACAGACATGAAAACTATTTATTTCCAAATATATTTTCTTCTATGTGTACAAAATATCCATAGGATATATAGCAGACATATAAAGTTGCAGTACTTGTTCAATATTGCTGTGTCTAATTACTAAGATATATTCCTTCCGTTTGTTTTTATTATTAGGCGTATTAAGGTTTAAAAATGTCAAGTATCATAAATTTAATTTTGGCCAACGATTTAGTTAAATTATGTGCATGCTTTTTTGGCGAATTAATAATACTGTGTGCGTGCATGCTTAGTACATAAAGTTATTATATAAACAGGTTTGTATTTCAAATATCTTTTAATATCGCTATGATCTTTTAGCAATATATTGAATACGCTATCTCCGTCCAAAAAAGGTACAATTCTACGTTCGATCATAGTCAAATCAAACTAACTTATGTTTGATAGAGTTTATAGAATATAGCTAGAATCATCAACATTTAAAGACTAGCCTACAAGAAACCAACGGATCGAGGTAGTAGCTTAGAGACTTGCTAGCAAGTAACTATAGCTAGTATCATATGACTGTGTCAGGGATCGATGATTATCATGCCACACACACCACCATGTAGGAAGCAGTGTAGCATATTAATTAGCAGTCTAATAATATATCCTGCATGCATATTTGTCAATAATGCAAGAGACTTGATAGGAAGTTTACTGGATTGCCTGAATCAATTTAAGGAATGTGCATGTCTAGTTATATTGTTACCTCGCTGACGGAGAGTGGCCGCCGTCCAGCAGAGAGCTCCCCGGCGAGGACCCTCTCGCCGAAGAGGACGACGGCCTCCTTGACGGACCGGAACGGCGCCCTGGTGTCGATCTCCGCTCGGCCGACTACCACCACCTCGCCGCGGCCGCCGCTGTGGCCGCCGATGACTTCTCCACCTCCTCCGCCTACCATGTTGCTGCTGGAGTCTAGCTGTAGTAGCTAGCTACCGCGCGCGGTCCAACTGAATCAACCGATCGGTCGCCGGAGACGATATTTATATATGTATGTATGCGAACGAATAAGGCCAGCTAGCAGACTAGCTATAGGACAAGACAAAACAACCGATGGATCGTAGTGGGAATGTAGTTGCAATGAACGTCGTCGTCGTCGTTGGAGCTAGAGAGAGATAGGTTGAGAGAGACAGCATGCATGTAGCATGTATAGACGCTGTAGCTAGCTAGATAGCTTAAGAGATAGATGTTGCGCTGGATGAGTACGTAGTGGATGGTAAGTTGTAGTATCAGCCAGCCGCACCCGCCTGCATGTGGTGTTGGCTGCTGCTGGGCTTAAGTTGCCGTATGGTGAGAGGTGGGTTCGTTGCTTCGCGTCCACTGCACTGTAATATTCCGGCGCCTACGATTCTCCCTCTTGCTATATATGCATGGGCATGGCCCCGCTTGCCGGTGGAGTGTCCTGATCCGATCCATCGGTCTTGCCGACCACACCGCACACACTGCAGCTAGCATACGTACATACACACGCTACTACATAATCCAATTTTAAGGGCGGCTCGTAACCCTTTGTAGAGACGGTTTAGCCAGCCGCTCCTACCGAACCGTCTCTACAAATCATGTATTTATAGGGGCGGTTCCCAGGTCGCCCTTACAAATCGATTTGTAGGGACGGCTGGTGTTACAGCCATCCCTACAAATCTATTTGTAGGGACGGCTCATATTACCAGTCGCCTCTACAAATCCAGCCGCTCCTACAATCGATTTGTATGGGCGGCTGGTAATACGAGCCGCCCCGGCGGCTGTAGTACCAGCCGCCTCTATAAATACCTATTTGTAGGGGCGGCTCAATCTAGAACCGCCCCTACAGGACGTTTCCTCGCTAAAAAAATTTAAATTTACGATTCAAAATCGCGTTGCCGAATGCCCCGCGACCAACGTTCCGAACCGCGTTCGCGTTGCCGAACGCCCACGACCAACATTCCGAACGCGCGTTATATTGCGAATGCCCCGCGACCAACGTTCCGAACCGCGTTCGCGTTGCCGAACACCCCGCGACCAACGTTCCGAACCGCGTTAGGTGTTTGCCGAAACGCCCGCGACCCGCGACTACAAGCACAAGAGTATTATATAAACTACAATTACAAGTCCAATTCACAAGAATATATACAATCCATCATTAAATATACAAATTCCATACACATTGTTATCAACGTCCTAGAGCTAGCCTTTCAGTCTCACGAAGGTGTTGGTACTGAGGATTTCTACCTAAGTCAGACTCTCGGTCATGGTAGGCGCCTCTAACGTGTACAATCTGGTCCAATATGAAGTTGCAAAGGTCGCCAACAAGCTCTAAGAGTTGGTCGTCCTTGTATGGGTCTCTTTTTATTCATTTCTCTTCTTTCCACTACAAGAGAACAAGTTTCGGTTTAGTATTTCATATCACGTCTGAAGTTTTTTATACTACTGGTGAAGAGGTTCAAACTTACCCTTAAGGGGTGTCTCCTGTAAACACCGGTGTTACTCATCATAGAACATATATAGTATCCACAATGTACACTCCCAGGCTTCTGCTTGGGGCACTGTTTGTTTTGCATATGAAAATGTTAAGTAATGCTTTTGACAGCCATGTAATACAGTACTGAAGAAGTAAGTTATACTTACCGCACATAGTGTTTTTATAGCCAGCTTTTCCTTCCTTGCTGGATCATGCCTTCCATGATGATTAGTGACATAAAACCTAAATTTCCTGTTCGAATTATTTTAGCAAATATAACTTGTTAGTATCCAAAAGTGAACGTTACAAGTATGTATACAAACATATAAGCTAATGAGAATTGTCGATATGTATACGTCTTGAGAATCGATATGAAGTCTTTTATGTCACCGGGTCCCTATCTATTGAATCAAAGACCCATGACATGCTTCTCCTGACATCGACGGCTATACAAATCCAGTGGTTGCTGCATGGATTTAATCATAGAACTAGATAAGCTCTTTTGCATCGAATAAAATATATCGAACAAAGTTTTAAGTATAGAGTTGAACTTACTCGAAGTTGTATGGTAGCCATATAGTAAAGTGTTGTTGGAGATTTTTGAAAGCCAGAGCAATGTATGCCATAACTTTAAGGGACTCTTCCCTTAGTTTCGCCGTACGGATGCGCTCTTTCTCCCGAAGAGTCTTTGCAGCAGCTAGCTCTTTGGCATCCCGTGTCCACTGTTTAGGGTAATTAAAATTTATTTGGGCTTTAGCTTGAGGGTCTAGATACCTGGCTTTCACACTTGGCATTTGTTTGACAATGTGCACTTGCATTCTACAAATCACAGCATAGGTTAGTTACAACAAAATTTAAAGATTACATTCATATCATATCAGGAGGACAAGGACTTACAGGCACCACGTGCGAATTAAATTCATCTCCATTTCTCTCAGGTGAAAGCATATGTGCATGTCATTGAAATCAAAGACAATTTTCTCGGCTGGGCTTCCAAATGTGCTGGTGGGGAAGCATGCTTGTATGAGATCTATGCTCGTTGGGAGAACACGCAAGTACCAATCAGGGAACCTTCTCATTCCAAGTGGTAGGCGCTGGATATCCCGGTTTGGTAGGAAGGGCTTGCCTCTTTCATATGTTTTCGGAAAATCCTTTGACCATTTAATGGCATCAACATTTGGATACTGCTTTGTAATTTGGTGGAGTTTGCTAGTGACGGCCTCCTCAGAACCCCGTGATGGGACTTTTTTAACTTGGTTCTCAGGCTTGAACTGGTCATGGGAAAACCACTTGGACACTGACGAGACGTCTTTGATCGGAACATAAAGTAGCCTTATGGTGATTGGATGCTTCTTTCGAAGTTCCCATTCAGGCACGTCCTCATCTTCTTGTGCATCACCTTCTTCAGGAGGCACTCGTTGTTCATGTATCGGCTGTGCTTGTTGAGAAGACTGTGGTATCTCATGATGCACTTGCTCGGTACGAGCTAGAGAAGGTTGTGGCATCTCATCAGGCACCTGCTCGCTAGGACGCGGGGAAGAATGTGGCATCTCAGGAATGTGGTGGTCACGAGACGGTGAAAATATCTCCCCGACCTCAACAACTCGCTCCAAATTTGGGAGAGGGGGAGGCGGCCAAGAAGCAGTCAATATAATGTCCCGATTATGCCAGAGGATGAACTGCCCTATAACATCTCCGAGTAACACCAGCCCCTCGGGAGTTGCATAGTCTATCCTCCACTGCATGAACTCGGGCTTCACTGTATGTACCTCGACCCTAGTGTAGTCCGGCGATATCTTATTATTGTGGTGTAAGCCACCGGGAGGATGTGCCACACTCGTTGCCACCTCCGTCATAGTGTTCTGTCGGCCGCTAAGAAACACCAAGGTGCAACTAGTTGGTTCCCATATGCGATCGACGGGGTTTGTGGCTGCAGTGGAACCTTAGTTGCTAGGAACTTTTGGAGGGCTGCCAACTAATGCTAGTTCTCCCAGCGGCGTCACTAATATCCGTGGCTCCGTAGACAGTCCTTGCTCCTCCAGCGCCTTCGCAACTAGAGCCTTCACTTGGAGCTCAAGACTAGTCTCCTGGTCTCTGCCATGTTTCTTGTACATGTGTCTGTCCTCTTCAAATCCTTGCTTCCATGTCGTCCTTTTCCCTAGCCCCCTGGTGCGGCCTATGTGCTCCTTGTTTTCCAAGCCAAGGCTAAGGGCGTCCCTCTCTCTGGAAGGATTAAATGAGCCCTTCTCCTTGTCTTCAGCATATTTCAGTATCCTTGATACTGCCTCTTGGGTCTCCGGCTTATCAAACTTAAGATTACCGTCGGATGATTCTGTACTCCTCACATATATCCAATTCCTTGAGTGTATTTTCAAATTCATCACATTGATATCCCCAGCAGTTGCGGCCTCTTCGTCCATCTTCCTAAACTGCTCTTCCTTGGCATAGTAGCCACCGGGGCCTAGATGATGGTGGTGTTTGTTCCTCTTCGTCAGCTCGGTGTTACGGGCACTGAGCTCCAATGCCTCCGGTGAAGTCTTTTGAGCCACGAGTTCCTCCCATTGACTAGGAGTTATTTTGCCAAACTCATTGAAGGGAGTTAACCCCTTTTGGATATACTTCGTGTTGAGCTCCGACCTCCAACGTCGAAATGACTCTCCCATCATCCTGAAAGCATTTTTTTACCAATTCATGCTTACCCTCTAGAAATCAAAAATTGAGCTTCAGCTACCTATCCCATAGTGCATTCTTTGTGTTATCTGGTACCTCTTTCCAATTAGGGATTGTTGGGTTCAATTTATCTCTTACTAGGGCCCCGATCGCATTACGGAATCATCCTCTTAATTCCTTTGGCTTAAGGATCTCTCCTACTGGCCCGACCTTCGTTATCACATAGCATGCCATATCTGGATATAGATTTCCTTTTCTATCCCCTCATTTCCTCTTAGGCTTGGTAGTCGTGGTTGTGTCTTGAGGTTGTGGAGTAGAGGCATCGTGATCCATCTCTGTGGCTGTTGCCTCTGCTCTCCTTTCCTCTACTCTGTCTTGTCCAGCGAGATGTCACGGACGTCGATGTCGTCTTTTCCGAGTTTCAGGAGGGACCTGTATATACCACAGGTCAAAGTGTTAGCAGAGGTAACACAGCCAAAGCTTTAGCAAAATTTATAAGCTAAGGCTTTTTCCCTACCTCCTCGTTCGGGTCAAAATCCTTGTACAAATCTACCTCCATTGGCCTCCTTCTGGCTTCACGTGGGAAAGGGTCCTCAGGCCTTTCATATCCCTCTTCTTAGTCATCATCATCATCATCCTCTTCTTCTTTGCCTTCAGCAGCCTCTCCTGCTCCCCCTTCCTCCTCGTCACATTGCTTCTGAGTAAGCATCACTTCTAGATCCTTTTCTACCTTGTTATCGAACTGTTCCTTAGTAAGCTGGTCCTCTAGTGCTTGCTCCTCATAGGTTGGCTGC